TCCTTCTGATGCTGATGAAGGAGGACGAGGAGGAGAGATGACCCGAGGGATGTGATTCTTTCGAGGCCCCTCCTCGGCCCGGCAGCCGCATGCCGGGAGACAGGCGTGCAGCTGCACGACAGAAGTCCTAGGCTCCCGAATCTTGGGAGCCAGTAGTCCCTGGCATCGTGGTCGGCTCAAACTAGATCCCAGCCCTCGTAGGACTGAGTCGTGGTAGTGGCCGTCGTCGTCCCTGTCCATGGGTCCCCGCCGCTCTGCACGTTGCTCGGGTCGGCCGGCAGCGGGGGCGGCTCTCCTGGGCCCGAGCTGCTCGACGCCGCGCCCGACGCCTGGATCTGGGCGTTCTGGTGGCTCACCAGGCCCTGGATGGCCGTGCCGATCTGGACCATCATGACCACCATCTGCTGGGTGGCTGCGTTGATGTTGTTCATGGTCCCCGCGATGTTGTCCAGGGACGTCTGGATGAAGTCGAGGTTCTCCCCGAAGTGCTCGAAGCCCCCGAGGATCCTCTGGATGGTGACGCAGCTCTGGTGAATCTGCATCAGTCCCTCCTCCAGGCCAGCAGGGAAGCTCTGAATGTTCGTGGCCACGGCGATCATCTGGTTGAGCGTCTCCTGCACTTGGCCCAGCGCCCTGATGCCCTCCGGCACGTTGTGCAGCTGCCACTGCAGCGCCTGGAGGTGGCCGCTCAACTGGTTGACAACATTCAGTGCTGCCGCGCCCTGCTGGAATCCCTCGTTCTCCTGGAGGATGTCGACTGCTCTCTGGGCTGAGCGAGCTGCTGCTCTCGCGGCTTGGGCCGCCGACTCGGGACGGTCCTCGTCGTTCGGACCAGCTCCTGGAGCGTTCTTGGGGATCCAGGTGATGCGAGCTCCGCAGGCAGTGCACTTGGACCCGCTGCCCCACTGGTTCCCGTAGTACCGAATGTGATGATCGGGATGAGGGCAGTCCACCACCGGCGGTGGCTTGACTGGCACCTGGCCTCCTCCCGGGAGGGTGGCCATTGGCACTGCTCCTCCCCCGACCGGTGGTCCTGCCAACGACGAAGCCCTTGCCTGTGGTGACGGCATGCCTACCGGAGGTGACTTCCTGGGGAGATTGCGTGCCGCTGCTCGGTGTCCTGCTGGTCCTCCAGCCGGAGTGGAGTCGACTGGTGCGTGGGGCTGATAGGCTCCTGCCCCACTCGCCGCCGTTCCGGCACCGTCGACGTCCGCCCCCACTCCCTGAGTCACCGCTGCTCGTAGCTCTCCGGCTCGAGCCGCCGCCCTCTGCTTGCTGAACCCGAACGCCTCCGCGCCGTGCTGAGGTGCGTTGCTCGCTGGCCCGCGGCGTCCAGGCACGAAGTCCGGCGGCGGATGGTCTGGTGGCGGCGGCTGGGCCACCTGACCTGACGAGGCCGCCGCTCCTGGAGCCGCGGCGACTCCGGTGCTCTGGGCGCCCGATGCCTGGGGCGGCGGCCAACCGTAGGGGTATCCCTCCCCCACGGGGAGCCGGGGGATCTGAAAGGGCTCGCCTTCGGAGTCCGACTGCAGCGTCATCATATCCTGGTTGGAGTCGTGGTCCTCCAGCTCGGACGCCTGCTGCATGGCCTGGGCTGCAGCCTGCTCTCGACGTGCCTGACGCAGCCTCTCCTGCGTCTCCTCGAAGGCCTTGGGAGGCTTCTTCGGCGCTGGTGCTGGTGCGGGATTCGGGGCGGACTGCACCATCCCTCCAGCGATGAGCGCCAAGGTCGCCGTGAGCACATGCATGGCTGTGCCGGCTTCTGCTGCGCCGGCTCGGCCGAGAGAACAAATCGGGTTGAGAAACGATCAATCTCGAAAGCACTTGCCTGAGGCTTGAGCCTAAAGTGGCTGCGGACATCAGTAGTGCCACGGCCGAGGGCACCCAGGATCGTCCCTGCTTCTCGTACTCGCTGTGCCTGACCGTCGCCTTAGCTTCCCGAGATGATCCTAAGGCCCTGACTGGCTTGCGGGACGCTAGCTGAGCCCGTGACTCGAAGATCCCCGTAGCGAACCCCACGTAGCCCACCAAGAGACCCGTAGACATCTGGCCGCTCGGGGCCTCGCACAAGACAACCCCGAGGCTCAGCAGGATACTGACCAAGACCCCGTACAGCACGACCTGATGAGTGATGATCCTGTATCTGCGAAGCTCCCCGGACTCCAGCATCTCCGGAGGCTTGTCTGACTCTAGCAAGAAGGCGCCAGCGGACAGAAAGGGGTACTTCCGCAAAGCATTGTCTGGGATCTGCAGCGGTGCTTCTAACTGCTGCACGATCGTGGCCATGCGATGGCCTGATCCCAGACGTGTCAAAGGAATGTCCACCTCCAGGGTGGCCGAATTCATCACATTCTGAGGCAAATCGATCACGCAACCGAGGAACTCCAACAGGTTCACCGACAAAATGTGGGGAACCTCTTCGAGGAGGACGGTGGTCTCGATGATCCCCAGCACGCCGCCCAGGCACAACGGGTACAGTACGGAGCCCACGACCCTCGCCATGCCTCCGACCCCGTGTGCTGCCCTCGGGCGCTGGTGCTGCTTCGGGATGGTCTCGAACTTCAGGCCCACGGCCGCAAGTGCCAGCGACTCGCGGTTCAGCGCCGTCAAGCCCACGAGGTCGCTGCCGGCACCTGGGTCGACGAGGCCCTGGGTGGGCTTGCCGACCAAGTAGATGCCGGCGTCCTGCATCGCCTGGCCCAGCTCCTTCCACTGGTCCAGCAGCTCTGGAGTGACGACCCAGCCCCCCGAGCCCGACACGACCCCGTCGAACATGTAGGCCGACATCCCCTTCCGCTGGTTGGCGTACTTTGGGTTGTCCTTCTCCGGGCACTCGCGGTGCCAGTGACCCTTCTGCTTACAAATGCCGCACCTCGTGATCTTCATGAGCTGTTCTGGTGACAGCTTCTTGCGACTAAAGCCTGAGCCCCGAGAGCCACTGCCTCCGCCTCGCCCTCGTTCCTGTCGCCCGCGACCGCCGCGGTCTGATCGTCCTCCGGCTGGGCGAGACCGTGGCTGAGAGGCACTCCCTGCGCCTCCCGGCCGTGGCTTCGGGGCGAAGTATTCACGATCACGTTTGGCCGCCCTCTTGATGTCTTTGTTCTGCTTCCAAGTGCGCTGGTCGGACCTCGACTCGATCATGGCCATCGCTTCGTCGAGCTGCGTCTCGTCGAGGTCGAGATCCTCCAGCTCCGCCAGGATGGCGGCCTCATCCTCGTCATCGAGGTCGTCGTCGTAGAAGTCGCCGTCCACCTCGACGTCCTCCTCGGAACCTACCTCGGACCGACCAACCGGGTACGAGGGAGGGGGAGGATGAGAAAAGCTGCTCTGTGCGCCGGACTCTTCGGTCTCGACGGCGGGCAGTGCTGCTGCACTCCTACCTGGCAACAGGCGTTCAGATCCTGAAGCGTCCATCTGCCTGAGGGCCCAGGTGACGCTCTCGTAGTCGAGCTGCCCGCGGGTGAGCGTGCGGAGGTTCTGCATGCTCTGACCCGAGAGGCCGGCGCCCTCCTCGAGCATGAGGCCCTTCATCTTCGATGAGAGCCAGAGCTCGTTGGCCTCTGCCTCCTGGAACTGCGATTCTCGCCTCATGACGTACTGCGTGAGGCTCTCCTTATTCTCTCTAGCTGTTTCGAAGAGGGCGCGCCTGCCAGTACGTCTGAGCTCGTCGCCCTCTCGTTCACCTATCATCAAATTCATTCTCTCGAGGACTGTGCTGATCCAGCTGGGTCCTGAGATCAACTGCTCCGGCAGGTCTTCGAACCGGGCCTGCATATTCCAGTCGAACAGTTTGAGAAACTTCTCATACCTGCGCCAGACAGGAACATCCGTATTGTTGTCCCATCTCTTAAGGGCGCTCCGCCATTGTCTATAGTGTGTCCACCCCGGCCACGCTGGAGGATCTGAGAAATCTCCCTTGACTCCTCCTCCACTCCAGCTGCCGGAGAACCAGCCGTCACGCCGGCCCCAGCCGGCGCTCCAGCTGTCCTTGCCGTAGTCCTGCCAGGCATCGCGCTGGTCGGCCTCGGCGGTCTTGTGGTCGAGCTGTCGCCACTCACCGTCTTGCCGCCAGCCATCCTGGCGCCAATCTGCTGCTGCTGCTGCTGCTGCTGCTTGCCATGGATCGTCTTGTCGGCCGTCTGCTGCGGTCTGGAGCGGCTCGGCCTTGGTCGCCTGGGGCGCCCCCACTGCGCTCATGGTCTCGCGGACCATCCCTGTGACCAGGTCTCTGAGCTGCTCCGTCGTCACTGTCATCCGTCCTGTCTCCGCTGCTGTTGGCGCAGCGGCGGCCGACTCTACACCACCACCACCTATGACGGCTCCGGTGAAGCCTTCATCGTCTGCGGGCATCTCCGCTGTCCGCGCCGCTCTGTCGGCGCGAGCCCGGCCCGCGGCCGGAGGCACTCGAGCGACGACTGGCCGTGGCCCTCAAGGCCGCGCCGTGCCACCCATGGGCCTCCCGACCGGGAACCAGGCTCCGCTACCAACTGTGGCAGCAGCAAAGGCAGTAAATGCTTTTCCCTTGAGCCAAATCGGATAACAGTGACAGGAAACTTCACACAACTCTAAATGCAAAACCTACTGTGCGAAATATGCTCACCTGTCTCACTCATCGTCATCAGCAGCAGCATCAGCATCATCCTCATCATCTGCATCTCTATCGCCATCATCATAACCATCATCATCATCGTCAGTGTCATCATCATCAACATCATCAACATCATCAACATCATCGCTATCATCGTCACCAGCATCAGAATCATCATCAGCAGCATGGTCATCTTCATCGTCGTCATCACCATCATGATAATCATCATCAGCAGCAACATCATCGTCGTTTTCCGCATCCTCATCATCATCCTCATCCTCATCCTCATCCTCATCCTCATCCTCATCCTCATCCTCATCCTCATCCTCATCCTCATCCTCATCCTCATCCTCATCATCATCATCATCCTCACCATCCTCAGCCACGAGTGGGGGAGGGCGGCGACTCGCGCCTCACGCTCCAGGGCGCTCGGCGCTGGCGCGGCCGCCTCAGGGCACCGCCGAGGGGCGGAACGACAAAGGGGGGAACTGGCTCAGGGGGAGACCATCGAGCTGGAATCGGCGATACATCGCCGATACATCGGCGATTGGCGACTCCCCACGTTCCTGGAGCGGGGTGGGCCATCGGGCCCCGACCGGCGATGAATGAGCGATTGAAGGTCGACGCATCGCCCCCTGACCCTATCACCCCTAACGTCGCCCCTGAGAAGAGGACGCCGCGAAGACGACGACGATGACGACGCAAGCGGCAACGTCGTCGTCTCGAAGGCCTTTGAACGTTTCTGGAGGTTCTCGTCGCCACGGCCGGAGGAACGAGCCAGATGCCCTGCGCGGAATGTGCCCATGGGATGTGCGGTGAACGTTTCTGTTTCGGCAGTTCGACATTGGGCGGAAGGAGGAGGGGGAGGGGGGGGTCTGGCTCCGACCTCTGCTTAGTGCGACTGTTTGCAACAGTGCATCCTATGGGGGAAACTCCAGCTGCCTGAAGCAAGCGCCAAAAACAGCCAAGATCCACTCCACGGGGGGGGAGGTGCGAGGGCCTGTGCCGATCGACAAAATAATGAATAGGAAAACGTTCACGTGTCTGGACATCGGGCGTTGCTTGCCCTCTCTCTGCAGCCAGGAGCGCCCTCGCGGTCACGACGGGACGCAAAGCCAAAGAAAAACGTGCCGAGACGGATCACGAGAGAGGTCTGGGGACCCGTTGTGAGCGGCTTTGGGGCGGTGGTGGGGCAAGGGGGGTACACTTTCTAAGAAAGCAAGGGTTCCTCAGACGCCCCCCATGCCTTCCTAGAACACTCCGGGACCTTCCAACAAGCCCCATGCCTTTTTGAAAACGCCCCCCCTTGTCCCCACACCCTTTGTGCGAGCCAGCAAGACGAGGGCCAGGAGGAAAGGTAAGGGAGAAGGACGGAGGACGGAGAGGGAGGAGGAGGGAGGAGGGAGGGATGGGGAGGAGGAGGAGGTGAAAGGGAGGAGGGGTGAGGAGAAAGGAGGAGGGAAGGACGAGCGAGGAGGGAAGAGGAAGGAGAGGAGGAGGAGGAGGAGGAGGAGGAGGAGGAGGAGGAGGAGAAGAAGGAGGATGAGGAAGAGAAAAGGAAGCAGGAGGAAATGACAGGAGAGAGGAAGGAGGCGAAGAACGAGGGACGTGCGCGATGGAGGTGGAGCAGCAGAAGGAAAGCATGCAGGGGGGGAGGAAGAGGACGACGACGACGACGACGACGACGACGACGACGACGACGACGAGGGCGAGAAGCAATATGAGCACGAGCCAGCCAGGGTGGAAGAGACTCGACTAGACGGACACTACAAGCTCCAGTGCACTCACACCGCGGCCCACGCTTCGCTTCACAGACGATCTGTACGTCGGCGTTGGGTGAAGAGGGAATGCAAGTGTAGGTGACATGCTACGGGAACCCTCGAAGCAGGCCTTCCCTGATGCCCGATGAGCACCGCCGACCCATCGCCTTCATCCACGCGAAACCTCCACACCGAAGACCCTCCGACACGCACCCCTCCCCACCCCGCGCGATCGCCACCTGCAACGTCGCACCCCATCGGATGATCCAGTATGGCCCTACCGAGGTCGCCCAAGAGTGACTACAAGACCGCTCGAAATAGCCTAGAAAGAGGCCAAGGGTAATTTTCTGGTCGCACCCTGCAGCCTCGCCTAGGAGGGGGGGGACATGGAGGACGCAGGAGGGAGAGGGAGTGAGGACAAAGAACCCTTTGACTACCTGCTATGGCCCCACTTGGGCGGCCTGGACCGAGACGGCCTCCAGGACCATCCGGCATGGCCTCGGAGAAACCAATATGGCCTCCACGATCGCCCCCGCAACCTCGCCCCTCCTTCAGATGGCCCGAGATGGTTCCGCAAAGGTCGCCAGGAGGAGGGGTGCGGGAGGAGGAGGAGGAGAGGCAGGAGGCAAGAGGAGGGATGGAGGATGGAGAGGGAGAGGGCGAGGGAGAGGGCAAGGGGGGGGGATTTGGTTTGGATTAGCCTCACCTCAATCGAAGTACTGGCGGCACCCAGAAGAAAGGGCCGACAGAGAAGCCACGAAAGCGAGCGAGCAAACCAGCGAAGGCTCGAAAAACAAAGACGGGACCGTCTGCGGCCTTGATCGGAGTTCGTTTCGCGGGGGCGACGTAAAGAGAGGCAGCCTGACCAACCAGCAACTGCCCCTCAGACTTGGTGCGAGACGTTCCCGATGTCGATTCGGCTCAACCGAACGAGCGGTGTGAGCTAGCCCACGACCAGGTTTGCATGTGCTCGGACTTCGTCTGGGGCACGGTTGTCTGCCCTGCGTTGCTTTGCCCAGTGCAGGATGGCCGTGAAATTTACCATGGGCGACGTGCGCAACCACATCCCATGATACGACATACGTACACGACTACGACATACGTAGTGGCTGATGCGACTGCCTGGTACCAAGCACGCGCAGGGATAACGAGGACAAAACCAAACTCCGAGAAACAAATCGGAAGGATTATGGAAAGTCGAAGGGTTGGTGACCAGGGGAGACTAATCCCACGGCCGCCTCCAGGACTCTTGCAGTGCCCTGGCCCACATGGATCTACGCATTAAACGGTTGACCTTGCTCGCGGGCCCAGTCACGCAAGTTTAAGACCAGGGAAGACGAATCCCAACGGTCATATCGAAAGCTGGGCATGGCCAGGGATGTTGCCAAGTATCCCAACATGCTAAATGCGGGTGCTCCCGCACGCGGGGACAATGCCCCTCCCGCTTCCCATCGATGGTTCGACTTGCAATCAATGTGTTGAACTGGCACGGGCCGATGGATAAATAGCCCCCATATAGTCCTCCAGCTCAGATTGCCTGCATTTCAGGCTTGGGAATGGACACCAACACCAACACACGGGGCTGTCTTCTCTGTGGGAAGATCTTTTTGAATACACAGCAGCTGAGGGCCCCTTAAACGCGACCCGCGGGCGAGGAGCCACCCAGACTTTCGGCGACAGCCGAACGCCTTATGTACACTATGGCACCAGTCCTCTACTCAAAAGCGTTCTGACAGAGCGTGCTGAATACGACATCGTTACAGTGCCCCGGAGAGGACGGAAGCAACAACTTGAAATGGCCCCAGACTCGGGATCCCGGCGGAGGGGCGGAAGACGAGGAGGAGGAAACGAGAACGGACCGCGGCGCCGTGTGCGCACCAATCCCCACATGTTCAAAACGACCACTGATATAATGAGGCCTCACACAACGAATCCATAATGGGTGACGCACAATGCATACTCAGTCAAAGCCCGTGCGGCGGCGTGGCTGATAAGAAACAGCCCCAGAATCCTACCACGTCGAAGGCGGGAGCGGGAAGGGGGCGAGCGCGAGGAAGGAACAAGGAGGGAAGGCGATGGATCACCACAAGCAGCAGGGGAAACGCCTGAGGGTGAAAGCGGCTGGGCGCAGACACTCGCCAACTAAAACAAGACATTCGAACGAGGGCACACGGGCGCACGAGCGCCCAGCACCGCGCGTAACCATGACGGCGACGGCGCCAGGGCAAGCCTGGCGCGTGGCCAGAGGCCACGGTCAACCAGCAGCGGGCGCAGACAGGTCCAGACGCAGTGCCAATGCACACGGCGCGCTAAAAAGCAACCAATTGGGGAGAGAGGGGGGGGAGGGGGGGAGATCCAGCAGAGCGTCGTGCAACCTATCTCCATCCAGGCGGCCACCGCCCAGGGCCGAGTGAGACGACGCGCGCGGGGGAGCGAGGAGGAGACAGGCTGAGGAGGCGCAGAACCGGCCCACCCCCGAAAGGGCTAGCCGGAGTTCCGCCTCTGGGAGGCGAGCAGGACAAGGACGAGGAAGGAGGGGAGGCGGGCGAACGCCATCTCGAGGCGTCTGGCGGCGGGGCGGCGCCCGCGGAGCCGCAGGGCCGCCCCTCCGCCTGGCCAGGACGCGAAGCCACTCACAAGCCAGCAGGGGAGGAGGAGGAAGGAGAGAGGAGGAGAGAGGACGAGGACGAGGAACGCTGACTGCATCACCCTGCGCTGACTGCAACGCCCCGTGGCGACCTAAACGGTCGCCGCCAGGCGGGCCGCGCACAAAACTCACATCGACACGTCGCACCCGCAGAGGTCCGCCACGTTCTTCTGCACCCGGCCGTGCTGCTCCACGCCGCGCTGCAAGTGCCCGTGGCGCAGCGCCACGACGTGGTCTGGCACGATTCCGACACAGGTCCTCGGGCTGCCGTGGCGGCTGCGGCTGCGGCTGCAGGTGCCAGGTCTGCGCGGCGCTGCTGGTGCTTGGTGCTGCCGGCTTCGGTGCTGGGGTCGATGCTGGCGTCGGTGCTGGTGTTGGCGTCGGTGCTGGTGCTGGTTTTGGAGTCCCGAAACGGTGCGGTGACAGACCGTGCGGTGACCTCGAAACTCCCCAAGACCTCACCGCACGGTCCGTCACCGCACGGTCTTGGGACCCTGGAGGCCCCTGTCACCCGAGACATCCTCGGAGAAGGACTCGAGTCCCAAAACCGTGCGGTGACCCCGAATCCCCACCGACTCACCGCACGGTGTGGTCACCACACCGTTTGGGGGCCCCCGACTGGTGTTGGCGTCGGTGCTGGCGTTCATGCCGGCGTAGGCGCGGGCGTTGGTGCTCTCGTCGGTGCTTGCGTCGACGGTGGCGTAGGCTCTGGCGCTGGTGCCGGCGTAGGCGCGGGCGTTGGCGCTGGCGTCGATGCTGGCGCTGGTGCTGGTGTAGGCGCTGGCGCTCATGCCGGCGATGCTGGTGCCAGCACTGGCGCAGGTGATGGCATTGGTGCCGGCGGAGGCGCACGCGTGGATGCTGGCGTAGGCACTGGCGCTGGTGCCAGCGTAGGCGCGGGCGCTGGTGCCGGCGTCGATGCTGGCGCTGGTGCTGGTGTAGGCGCTGGCGTTCGTGCCGGCGGAGGCGCCGGCGTTGGTGCTGTCGTCGGTGCTGGCGTCGACGTTGGCGTAGGCTCTGGCGTTGGTGCCGGCGCAGGCG